TTTACAAAAGGTGTCTCCAAAATTGAGAAGCACGAGTCATCAAAAAGCCATGAAGAATCTGTGAAACAGTTATTCTTAACAAAGTTTTGCATATCTAATGACAAACGGTTTTGGCAGAGCTTGTGGCCTCAGAGAGAAGACAGATAGAAAAAAACAGTCTATTATAGATGGAGTATTGTTTTTAGACAAACAAGGATTAGCTTTTCGTGGACACAGAGAATTTGGTGGTAGGGGTTCCTGTAATGAAGGTAATTTTCTCAAACTCATAAAGCTTCTTTCTAAATATGACAATGTATTATAACACCATGTCAATCAAAATAACCGCAATGCCTTCTATCTCAGTCCAAACATCCAGATTAACCTTTTATAGTCTTTTTATGATACAGCTGATGGAGATTCAACTTTGTTCAGTTCTTAGAGCTACCCACTGCTGAAGTACCAACTCCAAATACTGAAACTTTTTTTAATCTTCTAAAGTCTACTTTAGATGAAATGGGAATCCTCATCCATTGTAAAATATCCAACAAAACGATTTCAGATCTAATCTAGCGAAAAGCATAATAAAACAATTTGCAGCAAGTTGGCTGGCAGTTTAGGCTTGATTTTTCTTCAAGCAACTCCAAGAAACACAAAGATAAACGTATACTGGGAGAAATAAACTTTTATAGGAAAGGAAACTTCCCTAAATCCTAAATAAGTTTTAGTCAATTTTGGAAAAAAACTTTATCAAGTTTGCCAATGTTTGCTAGTGCGGTTCGAAAGTATATACCAGCATCTCCTGTAGCAGTAGAATCTGCTTTTAGTAAATCTTAAGTTTGATGAATGTTTCATCAAACTTAAGTTTTACATTAGTAGTAGTAGTAGTAGTAGTAGTAGTAGTAGAGAAATTGCTGCAACAGGTTTCCCTGTATAACCTACAGGTTTTGGCAGCCTTATCTACTTCATACATTAATTTTATTCATATCAATATATATAAAAATTTACAATAAGATATATAGTATAAAGTATAAGTTTGTACTTTATTGTTTTTCCTTTATTGTTTTTTTTTTTTTTTTTTTTTTTTTTTTTTTTTTTTTTTTCAGTTATAATCTCGATACTTATGCGGATTATTTGAAATTTCTGCATCAAGCTTAGCCTTGAAACTGTTAACTGATGAAGCGCATACAACTTCTGACGGCAATGCATTCCAATGATTCACTATTCGATTAGTAAAAAACTGGTGCCTTTGCTCACAATTTTTAACATATTCTCTAGTCATTTTTAGATGATGTCCTCTAGTTTTTATTTTATTTGACTGCCCAACACGAAGGACATGGGGTTCACTCCATGAGACAATGTCTATATTGTTAATAATTTTATAGGCCTGTATCAGATCTCCCCTAATGCGACGGGTTTCTAAGGACGTTAAGTTCAGTATATTCAGACGATCTTTGTATGACATATGACGGTACGAAGGTACTAAACGGGTAGCTCTTCTTTGTACTTTCTCGATTTTGTCAATATCTATTCTTGATGATGGATTGCTGGCTGCTACCGCAAATTCCAGATGAGGTCGTACAAAAGTTGTATATAGAATTTTAAGTAGTTGCGGAGTCATGTGACTGAAAGTACGATACAACATGCCTAATACACGGTTAGCTTTATTGGTGGCAAAAGTTGAATTGTTATGCCATTTTAAGTCTGGTGTAATCATGATGCCTAAATCACGTTCGACTAAAGTTGATGCAAGTTCGACACTGTTATTGTTATTAGCTGGCATTAAGTAGACATAAAAGTTGTTTTTTTTACCTATGTGCATGATTTTACATTTATCGAGATTAAGTTTCATTTTCCAGGTATTACACCAATCGGCTATGTTGTAGATATCAGTTTGAAGCATTTGTGAAGCTAATGGGTGGTCTAAACGGGCCAGCAGTTTAGTGTCATCAGCATACATTTTACATGGATGGTTAACAATATCGGATATATCGTTCACAAAAATGATAAAAAGTATTGGACCTAATACGGATCCTTGAGGGACGCCACTAAATACCTCAAGCCACGAGGAAACATAATCGCCCATCACGATTCGTTGAAAACGCTGGTGTAAAAACGATTTTATCCAATTCAGGAGATTTCCAGTAAAACCATATGCCTCAAGTTTGTAAATTAGTCTCTTGTGGGGAACCATATCGAATGCTTTACTGAAATCTATAAAAGCTACGTCCATAGATATCTTGTCAGATAATGCTTTTGACATCATGTCAATCGACTCCAACAAATTAGTCACACAAGCTTTTTTATTGACAAAACCATGTTGATTTTTTGAAATAAGGCTATGTTCGACTAAATGATTGACCATAGTGTCACGTAATATTTTCTCCATCACTTTACATACAACTGATGTTAAGGATATAGGCCGGTAATTGCCTGGGTCGAGTCTACTTCCATTTTTAAACAGTGGTGTTACATTAGCTTTTTTCCATACTTTAGGACAACACCCACTATCTAGCGACTTCTGAAAAATTGCGCTTAAAGGTATTGAGAAGCTGTCAGAACAGTTCTTCAGTACATATGCGCTTACACCATCCAAACCAACGGTTTTGTCAACTGATAAATTGCTCAGCTTGTTTTTAACCAGATCTAGCGTTATTTGCGAGTATTTGCAGATGGCTTCAGTTCGTTTTATAAAATATGGCAGTTCATCGTCTTCATTTTTGTTGAAAACACTTTGAAAGTGATTGTTCAGCCGATTTGCAATTTCTATTGGATTTGTGATAGTGTCGCCATTGATTCCTTTTAAGGCTGTTATTGTAGTTCTAACATTTTGTTTACTATTAACATACTTGAACAGGATCTTTGGGTTGTGCTTCGATTTTATCGCTAAATCAAGTTCAAACTCACAACGAGCTTTATATATGAGCTTCTTCAATTGAATATTACACGCTTTGTATTCGTTGACTAGTTTTAAATTCGTTGACATTAGTTTTAAAGAGTGCAAAAAGATAATATATAACCAGCTGTCAATCTTTTAATTGAAACAATACTACTTTGTTTTGTGCAAAAAAAAAAAAAATTAAAAAAAAAAAAAAAAAATTAAAAAAATTAGTTTGTTATTTTTTCAATTTTATTAACTCAAACCATTAAACGATGAAAATACAAATTTTTTGATTTTAATTATAGAAAAATATTTAGTATAGTTAAATAATTAAAAAATTTTTACACTGCTTTGTTTTTATTCAAAAAGCAATTAAAACCGCTACAATTTTACTGCAAAAATATTCGGTTATTTCATTAAAAAGCACTGGTAATTTGAGCATGCTCATATTACACAAAAATTGTATCTTTAAATAAAGTCAAAAATAAATGTTTCTAGAAGTTATTTTTCAAACAAAATGGAACGGACTTTTAGCTAACATATTTTTCTTTAAGAAAAGTTAAATTTTATTTTGACATCAAAATTTTGCGCCAAAAATTCTTTCATGCGTAACGATAATGTTTTAACAACGCAAAATATTGAATGGCGTCTTAGTTAGTCGCTAATTACTAGATATAAATTTACGATAATTATACTGATTCCTGTTATAACCGCATAAAAGTCGATTTAAAAAATACAAAGTAACTTTAACTTCGCTGCTTACATGGTAGAAATCTTTTGGTGTCCTCATACTACCATGGTGCTCAATCTATATTAATCTATCCTACATTTTATAATTATTTTTCTTTTATAATTTAAAAAGTGTAATAACTTTCGAATTTAACTGAAAGTTAAATAAAATTTTGCAATTGTAACTGAGTTTAACTGAAAGCAGAACTTCAATTTCAAATTCGGCACCGAAGTCCAAGCCGAAGTCAACTTCGTCTTTAAATAAACTTCGTAATCCGAGTTTTAAATATTCGTCCACCCTTAAATTATAGCAAATGAAAATCGAAGAAGTTTTACAAACATGCTTTTTAAATAATTAAATTGACATTAATCAAAATTTTTATTAATCGAATACGATGAATAAAGTAAAGGTATGTATGACTGTATGTAATATTGAGTGAATGACTGAAGAACAACTTTCTTTTTTTTAATAAATTAAGTAGAGAGTTAAACGATATAAACTTTAAAACCTTTTTTTTTTTTCATATTGCCTGTTTGTCAAAGTTAACCACTTATTATTAATTTTCTTAAAACTTAAATACTTTATGTTTGAACTTCTCGAATGACATTCTCAATGTTCGGATGTTTTTTTTTCCTACACAGTTGAGGTTTTAAGAATTTTATAAAACAATAATAATAAAATACAAAAATTTTCAGTATATACTTAAAACAAGTAAAAAAAGTTATTAAAAGCAGTTTTGCTATCATCAATTTTGTTATCTCACTATTTATGTTTTTAATAATCGGTTTTTTTTAGAAATATCTTACCTGTGTTTGATGGTTAAAACCATGTAACCACGATGAATAACCATTTAGATTTCTATGGTCCATATAGTTATTTTCTCGTTAATTTTTGTTAAAATCAATTTCTTAACCATTTAATCTTTAGCTCATGTATTTATGTAAACTTGTCACAAATTTGTGTTTTTGTTCTAATCATAAAATATCTTTTAAATAGCTAAGATCCTTAGATCCTTGTACGTTCAAGTTTGTTTGTTGTAATTTTCTTTTTCTTTTTTGTCTTTTTTGAAAAAGAAAAGTACTCGATAATGTTTTTATTGTTTAATGGATTTAATTCAATAGATTTTTTGTATCTTTGTCTATTTCAAAATTAAAAGTGTGGAAAAAAAAATTTGGTTTCATGTTAAATTTTAGAAGAAATAAAAAGTTTTTTTCAAACAGACTTTATTGCGTTATTTAAAATTGTAGTTCTATTCCTAACATTCTTATGCACTGATGTTTTATTTTGTTAAATTAAATTACCATAAAAGTTTAATTTTATTATATATATATATATATATATATATATATATATATATATATATATATATATATATATATATATATATAATTAATTTAAAAACAATAAACTCACACAGTATTCCACTTTTAAAGCAATTAGAAGTTGAAATGTCAAATTTTTGAGCTTGATATTCATTCAAAAGTACATTATAAACATTTCACTGTGTTATAAACATTTTACTGTGTTTTTAAAATGTCAGCTTAAACTAGAGTAGAAAAAATAAAGTTTTGAATGTTTTTCTTTCAAGGAATTTCATTAACTTGTTTAAAAAGAAAAACAACTTGAGGCAACAAAAGTATCACGCTAAAAAACTAGGTGATTTTCACATTGTTTACTGGTGAACATTTAAGCATTGCAATGTAGTCATCTACAAGTTTGGAGTAATTTTTAAGGGAAATACATAAACGTCGTTAAATATTCTATGAATACTTAAGCATGCAATAAAAGAAAGAAATACGAGATTTATTATTTTGAATCAAACAAACTATTTGTAGCTTAGTATCGTGTGAGCGGTAAAAATATTAGAAATTTTGAATATTTAACATTTTTTTATAAGAAAATACTATTTGCGCACATAATACGTCATTTTGAAGAAACTTTATATTTAAATATCAAACAGTTATGCAATAATTGCATTGCCATCCTCGCACTGTGGACTTTTCTATAGAACACTCTTCATTAAGTTGCGCACCGGGTTCAAAACATAGACCCTGCTAACTTGTTAAGTTAATTTAGCTCGAGTAGCTTTATTTGTATCTTACACACCAATTGTGGCAAGTTCTTTGCTTCCAAACCATTTCTGCGTACTTTTTTATTTCTCTATTGGAGGGAGTTGGAAAACTACTTGATAGTTAACTTTGGTATAAAGCTCACCCCTTATTTACAAATTTTTTTTGTGTTTTGCGAGCATTCGTGCATGTAGATGTGCTAAAACCAAATCAGGTCAACAAAAATTAGGTTTACCATAAAGTGTAAAATATGACACTGAAGCTTTTTTATACATTATTTGATATATATCTCAGTATTGATAGTCCCTCTAGAAGGTTGAAAATTGATAAACAATATATAATTTGACCATTTAAAGAGAAATATCTCTTATCATTATTCACAGTCGCCAATTTATCCCAGACGACACTTTAAATGGTAAATGCGTATTAAAATCATGTCAGGCCACATCCACATAAATTCTAATTTTCAGTTAGGTTAGTTTTACCTAACTTTTACTCTGTATTCCTTGTTGCCTTTTTTTATTTTTTTTTTGCCTTTATTGCCGTCATTTATAAGAAAACTAACTAATAGGATATGTAAAAACAAAGAGTAATAACAATATAAAAAAATTTGATTTTTTTTTTGTTTAATACATTTTTTATCAATAGCAACTTTAATATGATACATATCAATAACAACTTTAACATGAATACAATAAATTCAAATAAACTTTAACGTTTATTTGTAACTTATTATTTTTCAATACTGAACATTTTCCAATAAATTTTAATCATAATTTTTTTTAATCAATTATTCATTATTTATGCATAACTTTTTTAAATTGAGTTGTACATTATATTTGAACTATAATAAAATAGTTTTCTAATTTATATAAGTTACAAAACAATAATAAATTAAATTACAAAACAATAATAAATAAATTTCAAAACAATAATAAATAAATTTACAACATAAATTTGAAAAAAAAATAGCTTAATAATTAAAAAAGTTATAAATTAAAATATAAATTAAAATTTGATGTTATTAAAAATTGCTTTATGATTGTTATTTGGAATATTTTATATGCTTACTTATAACGTGAATTATGGATAAATGTGGCAAAAAGTCTTTTAGCAAATGGAAATAATTTCTGTAATTATCAATAATAATGACTAGACTCTAGTTGCGCACATTAACAAACACTCCACTAAACAGTATACAATAATAAACAAATAATATAAAGCAATAATAATCTTAACCCTTCAGATAAAAACATACGTTATTCAGTTATGAACATTCTTACCTCTCAAGCTTTCTAACTGGACTTTTGTCCTTTTTATAAATACTCGCTAAATACTGACTGTAATATTATTTTTGTATTTTCACTTAAGATTTAACACCTGATGTGTTCCAAATAGACCTTTGCTCTAGTTGCAAACATTAATAAACAATATTACATTTTAAACAATACTAGGTTAGAAATTCAGCATAATTTGTATTAGAAGCTAAAGAATGGACAATTGAAGAAAATGAGGTTCAAGTATCATTTAATGTTATAAATTTGTATCAGTTAGTACCACTCGATAAAGTGATTTTAGCTATTAATGATAATGGTTCGATTGGATTATCCATAATAGTAATAATTTCAGAAGCTTACTTACAACATATTAAACATAATGCAATTCAACAAGCTTTAACAATTAATGTTGTACCGATAATATTTAAACAATATGTTGATGGATGCCATGTACGCTTTTCTAACTCTAATAAAGCAGTTTTGTTTTGGCAAATTTTCAAAACAAAGCTCTTCAATACACATTCGAATACCAAAATAATCAAGATCATCTTAATTTCTTAGATATCTTCATTTCAACTAATCATATAACTAGGGATGTAACGTAATTCCGTTCCGACCAAAGTTCCGGACGGATTTTGTGATTATCCAACAGGGAAATAAAGAGCTATAGGTAAACTTAGATCAAAAAACTTTTTTAATATTACGCAGCAATGACATCATTATTTTAAATAACAAATTTTTGTACTTTAACTATTAGAGCCGAAATATCACACATTTAAAATTAGTAAATTTTTAATTAAATTAATAAGAATTTAATTAAAAATTAATAAAATTTTAGTTAAATAAATAGTATGTAAATGATGTAGTTTCAATTATATATAAATAATATATATAAATAATGTATATAAATAATGTATATAAATAATATATATAAATTATATATATATATATATATATATATATATATATATATATATATATATATATATATATATATATATATATATATATATATATATATATATATATATATACACGAAAGGAATATAAAAACAACAAATTATACAAAGAACGCAGTGTTGAATCTTTGCGATACCGATATTCCTGAAAATCAAATCAAACTTCTAAATCTTGGTCTAAACTTCGTACCTTCGCTATAGTCAACTCCTTATATGGATATAATTGCAACAACAAAATCTTCTGCGCTAAAACTGGAATATAATAACAAAATAGAATATGCACAGGATTTAAGTCATGCTAGATTTCCTAATTTACAACAAGCAAAATAATTCCAAAATATACTTAAGAAACAACATCCATCATTAAAATATACAATAGAGGCTGAAAATGAATTAAAAACACTAAATTTTCTTGATGTCACCATAGTTAACAATGCTATTGGTAAATACGATTTTAAAGTTTATGGGAAAGATGCTATAACCAATATTCAGATTAAACCTCATTCAAATCATGATCCGGAAATTTTAAAGTCAATATTTAAAGGTTATATTGATAGAGCTTACAGCATATGTAGCGATGCATATCTTCAAGAGGATATTGATTTTTTAATTAATATATTCAGTGAAAATGGTTATAACAAACGTCAGCTTCAAATCATTGCTAACCAGGTTAAAATAAAAAGATCTACTAACATGAATGAAATCCCTAATGCAAACAAAATTCAAATACCAACAAATCCAAATGCACTTTCTACAACCTCTTTACGGAATATTCCGGAAAGCTGGTTACCGTACTGTTAAATCTAATCATAATTTAAGGACTCTACTAACATCCAAAAAAACAAATCGAGGCTACCGGACAACAGTAAACCAGGAATTTATTTAATTGAATGTAATTGCTCCAAATTGTATGTTGGTGAAACAAAATAACAAATTAGAACAAGATCTCAACAATACCAAAAATGTTTGATGAAAGATAAGTATTATCAGTCGGCTATAGCTTAAAATTCATAAAAATACTTTATAGAAGAAATTAATTGGGATAAAGTTTAAACACTTAAAGAAGAAGACAATAAATTTGATAGGAAAACTCGTGAAGCATTAGAGATTCAAAAACATCAATGCTCTCCAATTTATGGTGGAATAAATTTAGATAACGGACAATACGTTGAAACTAAATCCTGGACTCCATTTTTTGGATTCTTGCGTCAAAGAAACCATTCTAACGATGACGTCAAAGTTTAATTTTTGTAATTTATTATAATGGTCATAATTGTAATTTTTAATTATGATATTATAGTTGATGATGCTGGTAACTATAATCCAGCGAAAATTAACAATAGTATTGAGAGAACTCGTATTAATTGATGTTTTTATATTTTTAACATATATATATATATATATATATATATATATATATATATATATATATATATATATATATATATATATATATATATATATATATATATATATATATATATATATTTATGTCTATATATATATATATATATATATATATATATATATATATATATATATATATATATATATATATATGTCAGATCAGTTTTATCCTGCTACTGGTAACATGTAACCCAGTACAATCTGCTTCATGTCCTGCTGCCTTGTAGGATATGCCTTTTTAGGCAAAGGCTAGGAGATGCAAACTCCGACATAAAACACCCCTGCCTTGAGGCTCTTTGTTGAGTAAAGGCTATAGATGGTGTCTCGATAAAAATACTCATCTTAGGCATATATTAAATGCATCCGGCTGCTGTCTTGTAAAAGGCATCCTAGGCAAAGACTTAAGGGGTAAACAGATTCTTTCAGTTGACCAGCCTCGCACCCCTTCTTCATCTATTAGGCTGGCGCAGATGTATTTTTAATATATTGTTTCCAGTTTAGGATGTTGAACGCTGGATCTTCTTGACTCGATTCATGGGTTTTGCTTGTGTCTCTGTTTTTATGACTAGGCAACTCATTCTATTATCTCCAAATGAGGGTGCAGCTCTAAAACTCAATTTTATGGTTCTGAGGCCGGCTGGTAGTCAGGTTTCCTGAACTCTGTGGTAGCTCTCAGAGAGGCTGATTCCATCAACTGCTGAAAAATATTAGAGCACTAACAGTGCCATGTTGCGCATGGGTAGTATCCCTGTTTGTACTTTTGGTGTGCATTGCCAAGGCCACATTGGAGCCCTTTGTTACGGCTTAGGGTTTATTAGTGGAAATGAGGCAATTGCTTGAGCTATAAAACAGTGTACTGAGTACTATCTATGTTTCGAGTCAAGTTCTTTAACAAATTTAAAAATGAATAAAGCAACAAAAACTATAAAACACAAAAAACCACAGTCATCACCAAGTTCGCTAAACCTATCATTCACCAATATTCGTGGTCTTCGAAGTAACTTTTCTTCTGTTGAGTCTTATCTCTTGCAAAGTTAACCAGACCTGCTTGCTCTTTGTGAGACTAATTTGAGTTCAGCTGTCTCATCTTGTGATCTTAGTGTTGATGGTTATCTTCCTTTAATTCGTAAAGACTCCAATAGCCACATGCTTGGCCTGGGCATTTAGATTCGTAAGAATTCACCCATTTGTCGGGAAACTAGGTTTAAATCCACGGACTACTCTTTTATGTGTTTTCGTTTAGCACCACTTCACTCTATCACCTTTCTCTTTGTTCTATATCGCTCTCCCTCATCTCAAGACTGCACTCTTCTTGATGCTATTTCTGATTATATTGACCAAGCCCTCATTCTTTATCCATCAGCCAATATTGTTGTTGTCGGAGACTTTAATGTTCATCACACTGAACGGCTTGGCTCTAGTGTCAGTGACTCTGCAGGCATTAAGGCCCACAACTTTTGTCTTTCTCAATCCCTAACTCAAGTAGTCAACTTTCCAACTCGCTTTCCAGACAACCCGAATCATTTACCTTCTCTACTCGACTTATGTCTTGTTTCTAATCCTAGTCAGTGCTCAGTTTCTCCACACTCACCCATAGGTGCTTCTGATCATGGTTTGGTCTCTCTAATACTATTATCTTATTCTTCTTACCATCAGAATCCCCCTATCATTGTACATCTTACAACTACCTTAAAGCTGACTGGGACTCTTTCCATGATTTTCTTCGTGATAGCCCCTTGGTAGAAATCTTTCGTCTCCCTGTTGACAAATGTGCTTCTTACATAACTTCATGGATTCAGGCTGGCATGGAATCATTTATTCCCTCTCGAAGATTCCATTGTGCTGCTGCAATTGCCAATCGAAACCATTACTTCCATATCTATCAGCAAAACAATTCTCCAGAAAACAAACGTCTGTTTATTACTGCTAGGAACCATTGTAAAAAGGTTTTGTCTAACGCCAAAGCCCGCTATTCTCAGATCATGAAATCTCGTATTTCATCACAAAAATTAGGCTCTCGTGACTTCTGGAGAATCTTTAATAGTATCAATAATAAGGGAAAGTCTGTAATTCCACCTTTTTTGTATGGTTCAGACTTTGTCACCTCACCTAAAGACAAAGCTGAATTGTTTGCCAAGAACTTTCCATCAATATCATCTCTTGATGCCACTAGTTGCGTTCTACCTGATATAGTCGTCAAACAGGTTGATCCATTGCTCGACATTCGTATCACTACAGCTTCTTTATCTAAAGTGATTTCCCGCTTAGACTCTTCTACAGCCTGCGGCCCGGACAACATACCTGTTATAGTCTTGTATAAGTGTTCTCCGGAGCTGTCATCTATCCTTTCAAAACTATTTAATAAGTGCTTATCAGAGTCTTGTTTTCCAGCCTGTTGGAAAGCAGCATCTGTTATCCCTATTTTTAAAAATTCTGGAGAGCAATCCGATTCTTCAAACTACCGTCCCATTAGTCTTCTTCCTATCATAAGCAAGGTTTTTGAATCTTTAATTAACAAACACTTAATCTCGAATCTCGAATCTCATAACCTACTTTCTGATCATCAATATGGATTTCGATCTTCTCGTTCTACAGCTGATTTGCTTTCTTCTTACGGTGTACCTGGGAAGCATCTTTAAGATTATTGAATTCTTTTTTTCCAATCGTAGTATAAAAATTGTCCTTGATGGACAGCACTCTTCTTCTTATTCTGTAACCTCAGGGATTCCTCAAGGTTCAATCCTTGGCCCTATACTCTTTTTAATTTACATTAACGATCTTCTAGATATTCTCACATCTAAGTTGGCATTGTTCGCTGATGATACTACGATTTATTCTTGTCACGATAAGAAGCCAACTCCCTCTGATTGCTTGCAGGGGGCATCTGAGCTTGAAAAAGATCTCTCTTCTGCTACAGAATGGGACTCACAGTGGCTAATGAACTTTAATTCAGATAAAACTCAATTTTTTTCGGCCAATCGTTATCGCAATAGTTTAGACCTTCCTATTTTTATGAACGGTAATGTACTCGATGAGTCTCCTACCCTTCATCTTCTAGGATTAACTCTTACTTTTGATCTTTCTTGGAAACCTTATATCAAATCCGTTGCAAAATTAGCATCTGCTAAAGTCGCTTCTTTTTATCGAGCTTGTCACTTTCTTACTCTGGATTCTATTCTCTATCTCTATAAATCTCAAATCATACCTTGTATGGAATACTGTTGCCATATCTGGGGTGGATCTTCTAATGATACCCTTTCTCTTTTAGACAAGGTGCAAAAACGCATTGTAAACATAGTTGGACCTGCTTATGCAGCCAACCCTCAACCTCTGTCACATCGTCGTAATGTTGCTTCTCTTTTCTACAAATACTATAATGGGCACTGCTCAAAGGAGCTAGCGTCTCTTGTGCCATATACTAAAATTCATTCTCGTGTTACTCGTCATTCAATTAAGTCTCATCCTTTTTCTGTTACTGTTCCTAAGTGCTCCAAAAACTCTTATTTGTCTAGCTTTTTTCCTCGAACATCAGTTCTTTGGAATTCGCTTCCTTCATCTTGCTTTCCTGATTCATATAATTTGCAATATTTTAAGTCGTCTGTCAATCGTTATCTTGCTCTACAATCTTCATCTTTTCTCTTCCAGTAACTTCCAACACTAATTAGTGGTTGCTTGCAGCCTTGTTGGAAGCAAAGTTAAATATATATATATATATATATATATATATATATATATATATATATATATATATATATATATATATATGTATACATATATATACATATAAATGTTTCTTGTAGATGTTAGAATGACCAGCACAGTCCTGATTTGAACCCAATAGAAAATTTGTGGTCACAATTAAAAAAAGCGCTCGTTAATAACTATTCTGGCCCTCCATCATTCATTAATGTGTTATATGAACGAGTTCAGGAACAGTGGGAAAATATTTCGTTAAACCTTTGCGAAAATCTTGTAAAGAGCATAAATAGAAGATTAGCAGCAGTTAATAAAGCTAAAGGATTATGGACAAAATATTAAAAACTGAAAAAAATGTCAAAAATTGACAGTTTTTTTCGCGTGGTGCAAAAGTGATTCACCATGTTTTTCATTTATTATTTTGTAAGTAAATATTTTTCTTCAATAAATACTTAATAAAAATTGTTTTTTTAATAATAATTCCTACCAGCAATATTAATTCTCAAAATGCTAAATTCTTTATAAGAAAATAAAAATATTATGCATTCTGGTTTAGTTTTGCACCATACTGTATATATATATATACATATATATATATATATATATATATATATATATATATATATATATATATATATATATATATATATATATATATATATATATATATATATATATATATATATATACATATATATATAGTAAATATTCTTTTCTTCAAAACCAAAATAAGCATTTTTAAATCTGCTGCATATCATTAAGTTTGCCAAAGACATCCTAGAATTATTGATTGAAGAATCAGCACAGCCAACAATTCCTTCAATAAGAAATTTTCGAAAAATTACTCGGAGTTAGGGTTGACAATTTTCACATTTGACAAATTCAAACCCTAATTTGGAGGGCTTGGAATATGACTAAAAATATATTATTAATTTTTATTCCTCTTGTTATTCAAGGAAAAATAAATTTTTGTTGATCAAAAAAAAACCATAGAATAGTGTTAACTCCTAAAAAGGTTCTGCCGCATTAAACATAGTGGGTGCCATAAAAAAGATTACGTCCACCTGATGGTGGGTGCCACAAACCACCAAAAATATCTTTTTACCAATGTATATTAAGTTGGGTCTCAAAAGAAGTGAATTTTTGAATAAAACTTCATAAACAACAATTTTATCTTTATGTAACCTTTATAAAACTCTGTGGATTCAATCATAACATCAGTAGATGTCTAGTCAAGAACGTGTCTAGTTTTGATATAAATTCTTGGCATTTTTTTTTTTTTTTTGCTTAAAAACCAGATACCGGCTTTTAATCAATTTCATTCAATATTTTGAATGAAATACAATTTATCCTATGAAAATTTTTTGAATTGTTGACTTTAATGTATTTTAAATATATACCATATCTCCTTGATTGAGTACATGTTATTTTATATAAAAATTTAAATAAAGCTTTCATTTTGTAGTTTTTAATTTATTTATAAACAGATCGGCTTCTAAATTGATCAACTTTTATCAAGTGGATTCATTATCAGTAAAGTTATGGAATTTAGTATGTATATAGTGCAAAAGAATTTAAGAACTAACAATATAGAATTTAAGATTAACTGAACTGTTAACTGTGAGTCCGCAAAAGTATTTAAAAACAAATGGCTGGTATTTTGAATTTAACTATCATTTTCATTTATTTTTTCCTTTTAAGCAAAATTTCCTACTCGATTTATGAACTCAGTTTTTCACTTTTAAAAATCTCAATGCTAACCAATGATATTTTTATGCTGCATTGGCACTAACTGTAAAAGCTAGCCAATAATCGAAAAACTGATCAGTTAGTCTTTTTCATTAATATTAATTCTTTGGTATTTGAGTCAACTAAAAATGGCAGATTCAAGTTGGAGTGCGTCCACGCTACGTAGTTCATCTTTTCTAAAGATTTTAACCACAGACGAATTGCGTTTTCCTAATACACTGTCTGAAGAGGATCTGCTGTCCCATTTAAGAGGCAGAAATATTATTAAAGAAGACGAAATATTGGAAAAAAGTACTCTTGTATCGTTATTCAAAAAACATATTTCGCCTCTTCCACAACGGGAAAACATAAATCGAATTCAAAATATTTCAGAAGGCGTTTCGTTTCATGAAACATCAAGGTATTGAACGTGTAGTTTATTGTATGCAAATGTTTTATCAATTTTTTACGTAATTTTTTTAAATGTTATTTTATAAAATTAATCATTAGTAACTTAATCATTAAATGTCATCAGTTTTTTAAATAAAATTAAAAAAAAAAGAAATTCTTTTAAGAGCCATGACAAATTTGTGATAAAACTCTTTAATGACAGTCCTAGGTAGTTCTATGTGAAAATATATTTTAGTTAAAAATAATTAATTTCTCTAATAATGAGGTAATTATGATTCGGGAATTTTCACTGCAAGTGAAAAATTAATAAACTGAAAGTGAACTCAAGGGCAAATCTATCAGTTATTAGATGTTCACTTGATAATATATAAATTATGTTTAATTATAGTTAATAAAGTACATTTAGTTTTTATAACAATTTACTATTTTTAACATTAAATAATTAATCTTTCATCATATAGGCACATAATAATTGATGCACCTTAAAAATTGAGGCAGACATGTATTCAGTATGTCTGTAAAAAATGAGTCATATTCTATGCATTGTGTTTCTTTGAAACTATACTCTAACCCTGAACCCAAAACTAAAGTTTATTTTATTAAAAAGCCATACCCTAAGCCAAATTCCTGAAACTAACCCTTAGCATCAGGGTTAGAGTTTAGTTAAAGTATGGTTCTCAACAATACTTGTTTTGTATAAGACTTTTTTCACAGATTTTTACGTCTGCCAAAATAAAAGTGAAGATCGATGGTAAAAGTTAAAGCAAAGAATAAATAATAAAATTAATTAAAAGATTAAAAAACAAAATTAAATAATAAAATAGTTAATTTTATGATTTAATTTTCATCTTTGATTTTACTTTTACCTAAAGTTCACTTTTATTGTAAAAATAAAAGTGAATTTCAGCAACTTGGAAAAATCAGGGAAATTCTAACTAAAGAATTTTTTTGAATAAGGAATATTTATTTGCTAAAGATTATAAAAATCATATATTTTGTATGTTGTATAATTATTTATTGGTTACAGGTACTATTGATATTTGAGATGAATAAAAATTATAATTTTAATAGCTACAATACTGGAAAGCATAATTAGGGTGATTGCCAGGTCAGAGAAACAGGGAAAAGTTAGTGAATTCAGATATTTGCAAAAAAAAAAATCAGGGATAATCAGGAAAATTTAGTTAAATTATGGAAAAGTTGATGAGAAATCAGGTAAAATGGCTCTTTATCAAACTTACATAACTTTAATAGATTGTGTATTGTACACATAATAAAAAATAGTTTTGGCAAACGTGGATTGTAATGTTATATTGCGCTCTTAAACTGACCACGCTAATATTTTTTTTCTTTACAACTTGACCACGACTATTTTAACACTTTTAATCATTGATCTTTTCTAAAGTTTTTATTTTAAGCAAAGGCTTTCAATAAAATCACATAAGTAATTATAGATGATTGTTTGCATAAACGCATATGTAAAGTAATAAAAAAATGTTATACATAACTTTTTTTTATGTGGGCATGTATTTTTTATGATAAATGTTTAAAACTTTTTTCCATATCTTCCTTAAAATCTTTTAAACCATTATTTTTAGAAAAAGTTTTTTCAAGTTTTTTTTTTTTTTTCAACATCTTCGCTTCCAACAAGGCTGCAAGCAACCACTAATTAGTGTTGGAAGTTACTGGAAGAGAAAAGATGAAGATTGTAGAGCAAGATAACGATTGACAGACGACTTAAAATATTGCAAATTATATGAATCAGGAAAGCAAGATGAAGAAAGCGAATTCCAAAGAACTGATGTTCGAGGAAAAAAACTAGACAAATAAGAGTTTTTGGAGCACTTAGGAACAGTAACAGAAAAAGAATGAGACTTAATTGAATGACGAGTAACACAAGAATGAATTTTTGTAGATAGCACAAGAGACGCTAGCTCTTTAGAGCAGTGCCCATTATAGTATTTGTAGAAAAGAGAAAGAGAAGCAACATTACGACGATGTGACAGAGGTTGAAGGTTGGCTGCAAGAGTAGGTCCAACTATGTTTACAATGCGTTTTTGCACCTTGTCTAAAAGAGAAAGGGTATCATTAGAAGATCCACCCCAGAAATGGCAACAGTATTCCATACAAGGCACGATTTGAGATTTATAGAAATAGAGAATAGAATCCAGAGTAAGAAAGTGACAAGCTCGATAAAGAGAAGCGACTTTAGCAGATGCTAATTTTGCAACGGATTTGATATAAGGTGTCCAAGAAAGATCAAAAGTAAGAGTTAATCCTAGAAGATGAAGGGTAGGAGACTCATTGAGTACATTACTGTTTATAAATATAGGAAGGTCTAAATTATTGCGATAACGATTGGCTGAAAAAAATTAAGTTTTATCTGAATTAAAGTTCACCAGCCACCGTGAGCCCCATGCTGTAACAGAAGTGAGATCCTTAAGTTACTTTAATTTATGAATGAGCTCAAAACCTTTTGTGACTACTAGCTTTTACACATTTTATGTGTATTATACAAGAATATAAAATAACTTTATTCACTTATATAAGCGTGTATTTTGTTTTTTTATGAAAAAGTTTGCATTTTGTAATGTTCATATGATTAATTTTTATAGGTTAAACTTACGATTTTTTAAAATCTTTTACACTAACATTTTATTAAAAAAAAATTTTTTTTAATTACGATAGGAATGAATGAGTTTAAATAATTTTAAAATTTGTTATGTGAAGTCCTTAATAATGAAGTTGAAAATTTTGCTGCTTTAAGTTTGTTTTCATTTTAGTACTTATATAATCTTTTTTGTAAATAATTTTTTTTTTCGTTTCTTTTTTGTTAGAAGTTTTTTTTCGATAGTTTTTTATTAACTTTTTTTCTAGTTTAAATTTAGCTTAGCCTTTATACATTCAGCACATTTCTGAAATGTTTAAATCATCAAAACGTATTAACAATCGTGGTCATGTCAAAAAATAAAATCATTTGCATGGTCAGCAATAGTGCTTGATCGCACACCATTTCTGTCCAAGCCTATATATATATATATATATATTTATATATATATATATATATATATATATATATATATATATATATATATATATATATATATATATATATATATATATATATAAATACATACATACATACATACATACATACAGGGCTCAATTTAATGGTCCGACGTCGCTGGCCCTGGACTGTTTTTGAGATATGATTTATGGAGATAACCAACCATTGTTCATTTTTAATGAAAAAATTAACAATGGCTTGTTACCCTCCTCTAGCAGGTCTCAAGAATGGTCCGAGGGGCGATATCCAACTGTTAAATAAAGCCCTGGTATATATTTTTATATACATATAAATATATCAGGCCTTGGCATAAAGAAAATTGTCCAGCGCAATGTTTTGCGTCCGTAAAATTCAAATATATTTTAGCAAGCGTGATTATGCATACTCATCATTAATTTATTGGGAGCAATCTTTTATTTTTGGATATGACTGTTCCACACAATTTTATTAAGTTTTAATTTGTTAATTTAGACAATAATTATCTTAAAATTATTATTTAGCAATGCACTGCCTGGCAAAACATTTAAAATTCTTTCGACTTCCTAACTACTTATTTATTATTTGATCGCATCTGATTGTGTTGTTGTTTAAAAGAATAAATCTATCTTTTATGTATTTTCTTTGTTATTGTCTTCATTTTTAACATAATACTACAGTTAATTTTTTTTATCACTACATCAAATTTATTTGAAAAAAGTTCATATGCTTTCATTTTTTTTCATTGTTTCATTTGTTTAATTAAAATATAAATTCAGAATGTTTTCGCATCATTAAAACAATGAAATAAAGATTTCTTTTCGTTAAAACATATTTAATGTTTTTTCGTTGATAACGTTAATAGAACTTTTATAACTTTTAGCAAATGTTTTCACAAACTTAAACTTTTCTTTTTCTCAAAAAAATTTATAATTTTAATTAAGTTATTATTAATATAAGTTATAATTTTAATAACAAAAGCTTTTTAAGTTTTGGCCGAAAACATTTAAATAATAACTTAAAATTCTTTTCTATCAACATATTAACTCGAAGAACAATTAAAAGTTTTGGTATTTTTAGGATTAATTTTTCTACGTTGTTATTACATTAAATTGAATATGATTCCATTTAGCCTAGTATATATCATAAATCATAATCATTTACGTCATAAGAATGGTTTTTAAAAACTAATAATAACTAAAATTTGTAATAATTAGATTGTTTAGGGACAGTGTTATTCTTCAACTCTTGTTAGAGTGCTGAGTTTTTTTAAATGTTTTACTTCGACTGCCAAAATGCAATTAAAAATATGTAAATAGTGATTATTTTGTTTTTAACCATAAGCAAACTATATTGTTCAAAACACAAACTTTTTTAGAAATATTTTTTTCAAAATTAAATAAAAAACTTTTATTATTATACTTATGGTTTTTAGCAAATGCTTTTACAAAATTAAAATAATAAAGTTTCATATTAATTTGTATTTATTGCACAATTTAATATTATTAATAAACTTATATAAATAAACAAAATTTTATTTAATTTTGTTAAATGTTTGCTGTAAACGTTTTATATAAAGAAGTCTCATTCATAAATCACCATTCATTGTTCGTAGAAATTTGCGCTTTAATTTTAACAGGATGATGTAAGTTAACATGAAAAAATGAGTTTTTTAATTGAAGTATAACTTAAACATTTTACCTTATTTGAAAAAACGCAATTAAAGAATCTCTATTATTTTGTTTTTAACAATAAGGGAACATTTTTGTTTAATTAACCAAGAATGTTTAACAAAAACTTTTTATAAAAAAAACCTTATATTAAATCGAGTAAACCATTATTAGTTTCTTCCTCCCGAATTTTTAGGACAAGCGCAATTTTTTACTTTCATTACTAAATTAGGGAGCGTTTTTTATCATGCCCGCAATTTATAAATATTCCATTAATGAGCATGTTTTACATGATGAGAACGATTGCTCCTGCTTCATGCCAAGGCCTAATATATATATGTATTAACTTTGTATTTTGGCAATTAAAGAGCATTTTTCTAAAATAATTAAGTCTAGTATTGGCTAATATTAAATTAAATCAGGCAAAACAGGTTAGGGATCAGGGAAGTGCACCTTAAAATATTAGCAGACACCCTGATAATACCATCTGATAAAGAACTAATCATTGAATACTTTAAATTTGGGTTGTCTCTTACAAAAATAGAACAGTCATAATTTTCTGATGAAGATGTATTAAAATGAAATCAGATTTTCACACACATTTTTGCTTATTATTCTTTTCTTTTGTGTTTTAGCTCCTAATTTTGAAAATTTTGTGCAGATCTGATGTTGATATAAGGTCGTTTAAAGGGACTACCAAGTCCCGAGACATGTTGTGTTCATATTAAAGAGAATGTTAAAAAAAAACATCTGAGCAAATTTTTTTTGATTAAAACTAATTAATAAATGTATTCCAAGAAAAACAAATCTTGTTGTTTTAGTCGAAACATTTTCTCTGGTATTTTGAGTATGTAAAATAAACGTGGTTTTCCAGGCGCATTATACAGACTTGATAATTTATTCAAGCGCGTTTAATTCATAGGAGGGTTAGTGCATGATGTCATTTTTTTGTTTGTTTGTTTAAAACGCCGATTGTTATTTTTTACATACAATTTCCAAATCATATTCATTTTTATTATATTTTTATATTATAAGTCTAAAATGTGTTTGTAAAACAAAACTAAAAACAAAATATTGTTTTATTTGCGCAACTTTTAAATAATCGTCTAGACCACGTGTATTTTGATTTCTTTTGTTATAAGTTTTTCTTTCAAAAAATTAGATAAAATAATTTTTAATCTAAATAATAATGCACTTTTATTAATTTTCTTTGTAAATATTAAAAAAAAAATTATTAATGCATTTTTTCTCTGATTTTCAAAAATATATTTTTTGGTATTGAGGTGATCTTATTTCATTATTTATATTTCCATTATAACATCTAATATATATTATGGCGGGGGCTTAAAAATTAATATATATTAATTTATATATATTAATTTTTATTTTACAGACATACATGGAAACATAATTAACTTGAATGTTCTTAAAACATCTTGTGGAAGAATAAAAAGAATATCCGCGAACACTAAAAACCCGCCAAATTTGCGAACAAACTGCTTTTATTGGTTCAAAAAACACGCTGACTAAGCGAAATAAAGTTCGAGAGTATTCTGTTGAAATGTTTTAGAAATTGTATTATTTACGATTTGTTGTGTTTTAAGATATCTAGCATAAATTTTTTTAAGAGTATATTATCAAATGAACTATTATTTTAATATTATAGCTCATTTTCGGAGCCACATCTGTAAAGCCGTAAATCTTTTAAACTATTATCATTTGTTTACAAAAATAAATGTTTTATAATATATTTTTTAAATTGTCAAAATTTCGAAAGTTAATTACAAGTTAGATATTTTATTAGTATATTCTTAATTTTTATATCTTTTCTTAGTGCTTGGTTTAATTAATTGTTCGTTAGATTTGTAAAAAACTAACGAACAATTAATAAAATAAGTAACTATAGTTAGCTATTTTAGTAAAATTTAATAGTAAAATTTTTAAAGAATTTCTAGAATGTTTCCAATGACGTCATGCTCTAAAACTCCTATGAATTAAACGCGCTTGAATAAATTATCAAGTCTGTATAATGTGCCTGGAAAATCGCGTTAATTTTACATACTCAAAATACCAGAGAAAACGAAAAAGACGAGCTTCGACTAAAACAACATGATTTGTTTTTCTTGGTATACATTTATTAATTAGTTTTAATCAAAAAAATTTGCTCAGACATTTTTTTTTTAACATTCTCTTTAATATGAACGCAACATGTCTCGGGACTTGGTAGTCCCTTTAAGGTCTCCAATTTTTCACTTGTTTCAGAGTGATGACTAAATGTGTGGAAATTGAATATAGTCAAGTTGAATATACTGTTTTTATATAGAAAGTATGTTCAAGGCTATCACTATAAGTAATAGCCTTTAGTATTTAGTCAATCGCTATAAATACATAAAGTGTTTGTTTTCTATTTATATTTATAGGTTTAATTCCTAAATATTAAGGTAAATTGATAGTTTGTGTTGTTCTTATATAAACAAGTTTATATCTTTGATTAGAAAATAAATATATAATAATGTCAAAAAAAAGTTGTTTCAGTTAAGATAAATTAAATAAAACACTTTAATTTATATATATATATATACAAAATTCTAATATATGTATACAAAATTCTAATAGACCTGCATGTTATGTGCTCTACTTAAAAACATTTAATTTAAGTAACATGGGCATTCAGACAGTAAAAGTTCATGAAAAAAGTTTATATAGTATTATTTTGTGAACCAGTTGTCAAACTATTCTTTTTTTAGTAAATATAAAATCCAAAAAGTTGCTTTAAACAGTGTTGTAAAAAGTTTAATCAATCAGGAATTGTTTTATTCAAAAGCAGTTTGTGTGTATTAAATAATGTAAGTCTAGTAAGGATTCAGAAAACAGTTGATTGCTATGCTATGCGATAAAGTCACAAAAGCTGAAATTAACTAAGTTTTGTGTTGTTGTATACATGAATTTATAATTTTATAAAAGTAGGTAGGCCTTGTACTTACATTAGAAAGAATTGTTTCCTGATAGTGAAATAGCTGAGCAGGTCAAGCTTGAAAAGACAGTGATTATAACATAGCTCATGGCCAATGTTGTAGCTATTGGGTTGGAGTCCCATACCCCCTTCTGACTTCATAAAAAAACTGACATTAGTGCCTTCCAAAATTTCCAGAGTAATACTGAGGGGGAAGCTCCTTAAATTTCAAAATGGATCTCTAAAATCGCTAGCCCCCTTCTCCATTTGGGGTGTGTGGGATAGTCTAGCAATGGATCTCTAAAATCGCTAGCCCCCTTCTCCATTTGGGGTGTGTGGGATAGTCTAGCAATGGATCTCTAAAATCGCTAGCCCCCTTCTCCATTTGGGGTGTGTGGGATAGTCTAGCCACAGCTCTGCTCATGGTATTGCTGTTTTTGCATGGTCTTGCTATTGGATGATGCTCTTCTGCGGAATATTTAAAAATCTAATTTTTTTTTTTTAATATTTGACATTAGTAAAAACATGCAAAAAAATTAGTGAGTATTTTTATCATTATTATTGCCCCACTCAATGTGATTGCTGAAAAAAACTACTTCAATTACTAATTTGATTACTATTAATTTGACGGCTATGATGATATGTGCACTCGTTAGACCATTTTGTTTCTTGCAAAGTAAATTCCGATTCTTTGACTATTTATTTTTTAAATCAGGTCTGATTAATGCACTTATATTTGACGTCAATAAAAAAGTTTCTTTCAAAAAACTTAAATCAAGTTTAAATTGTAGGGATTTTCCATTTAGGTGGTTAAATAAAAGTATAAGATTCAGGTTTTTAATATCAGTTTTATATATATCTGAAAAATATATTAGATCATTTTAAAAATGGTTTTTTGAATTAGTGATATTAATTATTATAATAATAAGTTAAAAAATATATATATATGTAAGATATGCAGAATTGACTACAAAATGGTGTTCTTTAGATTCACTATTACCGGTAGTAAAGAGCAGTGATGCGGAGTCCCAAAAAGGACTCCAAATTTGAAAGTCACAAAAAAATTACTTCTTTATAGTTTTTGGTATCCAGGAGCTCTAAAAATATAAAAAGGTTTACTACTAATAAGAAAAAAAAATTAAGACTTTTAGGTAAGAGGAACAAACATTTTTTGAACCCAGAGTCTTTAGGTATAATTGCGGCAAGGACTCTGGGACTCCAGCACTCTGGGCTTAAAAACAATAAGTTCCAAGTCATTAAACCACATGAATTTTTTACTTATAGCAGATCATTAATCAATCAACCTGTTTAGAGCTTTTAAACACTACAGACCTGGAAAAAGTAGAGATATAAAGCCGGAGTTCTTTTGGGACTGCATCCCTGGTAAAGAGGTTTTAAAAATTATATTAAAAAAGCCTAAAGCAAAAAAAATTATATCATCTAAAGCTCATGTTTGGACATATAATATACATATAAAACCATATTAATTCCAAATAAAAGAGTTCAAATAATTTGTAAATCGCCTTAACTACACTGAGCAATTAAAAAAACTAAGATTTTTAAATCTTTCATAATTTAATCATGTTAGATTATATTGTACTTAGTGTTGTATATAAAAGAATTAACTACTTACTTTCTATGAAAAATATTCATCTTTTAATTTTTTGTGCAAGCTGTCTGTTTATTCATTAAAGGAAACCCCACGTATCCAGACAAATTATATATATATATATATATATATATATATATATATATATATATATATATATATATATATATATGTATATATATATATATAATAATAATAATAATAATAAATTGGTTCAGGTTGCAGAAAAAACCAAAAATGGAAATTGAAAGTGATAATGATTCAGGTGGCAGCAGTATAATTACAGATGAAACTAGACCAAAATCAAATGCATTAACTGTAAAGATTCCTGCTGTATCAAAAGGTGAGCTCAGAGGAAGTAAACCTGTTAAGCTAAAGCGGAAGAAAAGTTCTGACAAAGTTTCTGAACAAGCTTATAAAAAATCATCTAAAAATGAAGAGGTCAGTATGTTAATATTAATTGATTAGTTTGAATTTAAATGAATTACTTTACCACCTTTATAAATTGTTTTATAATGCTAATAAATTTATAAATTATTGGATAACATTTTTTGTATCTGATAATATTTTTTCCAACAAAAATGTTTTTATTACTTCTAATAGTTGGAATTCCTTCTCAATTATCTTAAATGTCACATAATTTAGATAATGTCCAATATCCCCAAAAATATACTCCAGGAAATAGGTTAAGGTAAGTTATTAAGTGAAACTAAACTATAATAAATATAGTAAGATTTAGTTCTTGCAATGTGTGAATTTATATTTTCAAAATTAATATGAAAATTTTTTTTTTTTTGCCCTCCAAAATTTTTTTTTCATATAAATTTTGGAGGGCAAAAAAGTATATAAATATGGAGGGCAATACAGTCTCTACAACTGTGTTGCCCCGTTTCAGCCTTGGGAAAGTAAATGCAGTTTTTAATAAAAGGAATCTTTTTATATTTGTGTGTGCTATTATTTAATAATTGGTTATATTTTGACTTTTCCACATCAAATCACCTAAATTTTATAAAATTTTGAACTTAATTTTCTACTAACAATTTTTCTACTAAAATAAATAATTTTAACTACTAAAATGCACATCCTGTTTTGTCTTTATATACAAAATGACCAAGTGTGCTACTGATGTGTATTTTTTTCTTTAATTTTGACAATTTAAGTCTTTAAAAACTTATAAGAAAATGTAGAAAAATCTCTAAAATGTTTTATGACTTGATTGATTTATGTCAAAATAGATATGCCTGAAAGAAGAAAAAAAAAGATTATTTAAACATTGGAAAGAACATTGCAGGGTTGCCACCAAATCAGGGAAATTTAGGTGTGATCTGGAAAAATCAGGAAAAAAAGATTGATTTAGTTAAAAGTCGGGGTAAATCAGGGAATTAATTTTATACTATTTTATTTTAATAATTTGAATGTTTCATAGTAAATAATATTGTTTTTTAGTTAACTAATTAAATAATGATACAGCTTAAAAGATTGTTCAAATATACTATATTTGATCATTATAAAAAAAAAATTAACTTTTATTCTAGTCATTTATTTACAGTATAAACCAAATAAAAAGTTTATGCAAAACATTTTACGTAGGTTTGAGTAGAACCATTAATAATAACTCAAATAAATTTATTAGGTGCTTTTTGTGTAGAAAAAGCTACAACAGTTAAAGACTTTTAAAGTTTTTTTTGTGTATAAATAGCTGAAACATGTAAAGACTTTTAAAGTTTTTTCAACATTATTGTATTTTCATTCCCATTTTTAAGAATAAATAAAAGTTTCAAATTTTTAAATGACAGTTTATTTCAATGAAAAATGTTTGAGTGATCAGTTGTTTAAAAAATGGCTGGTAAACGACTCAGATTAAAAGTTAAAACATGCCCAGTTCAGTTCAACCTATCAAATATAGATCAGAGAGCTGTGACAAGTCACATGGAGAGGGAAAAACATGTTCAGAAAGTTAAAACCAGTATCCTGCTACATCTAAAAACCTGCATAATCTACATCTAAAAACCTGCATAATCTACATCTAAAAACCAAGGAGTTCTTAAAAAAATAGTTACATCAGTTCAGAGTAAATCCTATCAAAAAATGATCTTCTTGATTTTCTTATACAGGTAAAATCTGTAAATGATCAGCTTTTACTTCATCAAATTCTTTTGTTTGCATGTCTATTCAAATGAATGTGATCTCGCTTTCACACAGTTCTTGAAGTTGTTAGAAAAAGTTCATTTTATCTTTTACCAACAATTTCTATCACACTAGAAATTGTTTTGAAACTATCAAAGTTGGTATAAAATACAAGTTTTTGACAAAAGTCCTGATAGTCGTTTTTCTGTTAGGTCATGGTCAAGCATTAGTTGAGAGTATCTAGTATAGAATCTAGTATAAGAATAGTATAGAATCTAGTATAGAGAGAATCTAGTATAAATAGTAATATACTTAGCGAAATAATGAAAGAAAAGTCACTTGTCTTTTGTGAAAAAAGACAAGTGACTATTAAAGATCTCATGATATCTAACAAATAACTAAAATAAGGCTCAATAAGTAAAAATCAACAATGAAGACTGTTACTCCTCGTTGAAATATTAATAATATCTAGAGGAAAAAAAAAAGTTGCAAACAAAAGGAATTGAAAGTAATGTGATAACAGGCCTTGCGATAAAGCGTCGGGCGATGTGAATTTTACGTCGTCCAAGATCGATTTTGTGTGTAGCTAGGGCTATTTGCGTCGAGCAAAAAAATTTTTGTTTGAGTATATTTAAAGATATTTTTGAGCGGAATTTTAATGAAGTAATTTACGATTATTTTAACTTTTAGTAAAGTATTTTAAAAACCGCACGCAGTTGAAATAAAAGTTTGAATTAAAAAAAATTAAATATGCTCATTATTTACAAGTAGAAAAAATTCAAAAATTAAAAAAAAAGTTTAAACCTTTTAAGCTAACATTTAATTAAAATTATTCAGCAATAGCAAAGTTGTCGATAAAATTGAACAAAAATACTTTCTTTCAGTTTTAGATTTTAAACTTAAATAATTATTTTACGGGGGTAGGTTAGGTTTTAAAATTATTCCATAGATTTAAAAATATTTATTAACTGTTAGACGTATTTTCAAGTATTTAAGAGTAATTTTGAGGAAACATTTTAAAAATTGGTGAGGGCAAATAAAAAAATAAAAAAGGATTAATATTAAAACGTATTCTACTTGATTCAATAAAAAAGTACAGTTATTAAAATTTTTGTAAAAAGTAACTCAAAAAAATTACTTAAATAATAACGATCGCTTTTATGTTAAAAGTTACCGAAACTCAACGAAGCGTGCTCAAGAACAGCTGCTGAAAAATAGAACGTCAATAGTTTTTCGAATAATTTTTAAGAATAATTTTTTCGCTGAAATATTTCTTTTATACCTATAAGATTTTTATTCTAACATTTTATTTTATTTTACTAGAAATAAAATTCCTTGTTAACATTAAAAATTATTCAAAACGTTCGTTTAAGTTTTTTATTAATACGAGTGATTGTGCTTATCAACCGCTTTTTGAAAATAAATAAAAATAAATAAATAAATATTATATAAAATCGCTTGTAAAAATATTAGCTATTGCACAGTTTTTAATCGTACAATATTAAAATTTCCTGTTTATTACTCGCTGACTTTTTAAAAAGAAAAAAATAATTATTTGAAAAACTTTAAATTACATATTTTAAAAAAAAAAATCAAATATTAGCATATTTTATAATCTTTTTTAAATTTAAGTTATAATGTTTTTTATTCGTTTAGTATAGACAAAACGTGACAAACGTCGAGAAAATAAACAAATGTTTTTACATTTTAAAAAACGAAACATTTCAAATCATTTTTAAATAATAACATTTCTACATAAACGATTTAAAGTAGTTTTGCGGTAATTAAGTAAATTGGTGCAGTTAATGTCGATAAATATGAAAAGCAAATAAAAAGAATTTAATGACGTCAAAAATCACGTCGTGCTTATGCGTCGCGCAGTTCTTATTCATCGCAAGGCCTGTGATAATATTGTTGAATCAAGTAGTATTAGGATAAAGTTTTTAGTGAAGTATGAAATGAAAATTATTATAGCCTTGTTATTTAAAGTGTTTTAAATGTTGGTTGTTCTTTCAAGCTTTTTTATATTCTGACATTCTTTACATTTAGTATTAGTTTTTATATTTGTTTCAAAGACCAATTTGTTAATATCAACTGTTTTTAAAAGGGTACAAAAGTATTCAATTTTTTTTTTTATCAAATTATTTTCAAAGTATTCAATTTTTTTTTTTTTTTTTTAATCAAATAATTTTAACAAATTATTGGTTTTTCATATAAAAAAGAAATATAAAAATTTCTTATCTATAGAAAGCGCGCTATCTGTTTTCTTGGGGGAGGGGGGTATAAAGACAGTGTGTCTGGGGGTTGATGTCAAAGTTTTACTGCTCAGTTGTTTAGTAAAAATGATAGAAATGACAGGGGAATTAAAAACAAAGTTTAATTGAAAATATCAGGGAATTTTATTTCAGAATTATAGTGGCAACCCTGCATCAATAAACAAAAAAATTCTTTGTAATTTATTTGAACTGTATTTATTATACAAAGAAAATAATCCAGAAATACAAGAAAAACTAAAGAAATACAAATAAATTACTCAAATTTTCTTCATTTAGGCCAAAGTGATGCATTTTACCAGGTGGTAAAATGTAAAATGTGTACCACATTTTGTTTCAATGTAACCACATTTAAACAAAATGTGTACCACATTTTGTTTGTATTTTCATTAATATTATTGGTGGATGCCTTTAATATTGGTCAAATGTATTCGGAACTACTTTTAAAAACTGTTTGCTCATTAAAAAATCAAAGAATACATGCTTGCACAGTGTCGTGGTTGTACTGGTAAAGAACTGCTTACCACGTACTTATATAAGATTTTGACAGCAGCTGTTTTATCACTTCTAATATATGTGGATCAATTGATTAAAATTATTGCTGCTAACTTTGTAGAAAACTTGTTTTTTGTAGTCCAAGATGAAATACAAAGCTATCGCTTTAAAACCCAACTATGTTTTTTGAATTTAATTGGTGATATGGTGTAAACACAATTAAAAGGTGTACTAACACTATTTCTTATTGTTTTATATCAGATGACATTGCATATAATGTAACTTATGTGTACATAATGTTTCATCTAATCTTACTTATAATTAAAAACTAATTTTCCCATTTACAAAAATTTCCAATTACATTTACAAAAGTCATGGTTGTGCCGAAAGTACAAAAATAGTAAAAGCTTTATAAAGCTTTTGAAATGACCATAAGAAAACCAAATTCTACTGTTTTATTCTCAATATAAACACATTGAAACAACTATCTGTTCCACAAGCTTGCTCTAGTTTCAATAGAAACTTCGTGTTTGAAAAAGCTGAAATAGAAGAAGTACAAGTAATAGAATTACCCATAACCCAGTAATACAAGTAATAAAATTACCCAAAACCCAGACTGTTATTAGATAAAATGATGCTAAAATAAAAACTGTTATAAAATAAATTGTGTTAAAAACTCTTATGAAGACAACATTCAATTTGATGTAATAAGATACAATTTTTATATAATTATATATTTTTTGTCACTGTTTAAAAGCACTTGGAAGTGTTTGATTTCTTGAAAGAATTGTGCAAAATTAATCTCAACAGGTTTAGTTAAATATACCATGACATTTTTTACACTGTTCAGTTGTTTCAGAAACATGGCAAGTGTTGTTCATACTATTTATTTGGTGCCTAATGTTTCTTTACAGAATGCTCTTGTTTTTTTCCCCACAAACCTTTCCATCCAAACATCTAAGCTTGCATGCAGCAGGTTTGCTATTTGGTATTAATTCAGGCTTATTTAGGTTATCTTTTTATGTATATTTTCAACAAACATATATTAAAAAAAAATTTTTTCATTAGTGCATTTTTAGGGACAGATTTTAGTGTGGTAATAAACCATTTAAAAACTCTGCAGGGTTGGTATTTCATTTGAGTTTAGTTTGTATGTTTGTTTTAGCTGGTTATAAAAACATTTTAAATATTTACGCAAATTAAAAAATTATCTGGAAATTTGTTAAAAACAAGTTTTTCTATTAAAATCTTAAAATCAAAAATACTATTTCATTTAATTGATTTCATAAATTTGATTTCGCAGTAAATAAAAAAAACTGAATAATGAAGACAAAAATTAAGCCAAGTGTAAAAAAAAGCAGATAACTTTTCTAGGTACTTAAGAATTCCTTTTAAATCATATTGTTTATATTGTAAAAGTTTATTATAAAAGTTGTATCTTGGTTCTCAAAGCTATGTAAAGTATTTATAACATGTCTAAATTAATTTAATATTAGCTGATTACACCATATACAAACATATAGCTCATTAGGGTTGATACTCTAAGATGCTTATATGTTTGATTGGAGGAATTTATATTGGGGAAATAAAAGAGATTTTTGCAAAGAAGCATTAAGCACAAAATAGATTAAAATGAAATTTGGTGTGCTTCAGAAGCAACTGAATATCACAAAGTGTCACAATATTCAACTGGATGCACTCTATAACAATAATAGTACAGGGTTTATCTTTTTCCGGATATTTCCGAAATTCTGGATATTAATATAAATTTTTATTTTTTCTAGATATCCAAATAGATTTCTGGAAATACAAGTTAAAATTTTTTTTTTTTTTTTGTCATATAATTAAAACAGTTAAGGTATCGTTCATTAATTACTTTGATACATTATTTGTACAAAGTATTTTTTCTTATTTGTATGCGTATATTTATTATTATAGAGATTCCCAAGTGCCTAGACATTGGAGTCATTGCTCAGCTTTATGTGAATTAAAATAAGAGCAAAATCCCTAAAAAATTTATTCACATAAAGCTGAGCTATTACTTGAAAAATGCTGAGTAATAGCGATTGTTTTTTTTTTTTTTTTCTTTTTTTTGATAATAAATGATAAAATAGATTTAGTGTTAATTAAAATTATCAATTCAATCTATTTATTGAGATATTGACAAAAAAACATTGTTTTGCCATTATTCTTCCGGTTGAGAGGTTAATATTAATTTTAATATATTTCTTTGAAAAATATCTGTTTTGAATAATAAATGCAGAGTTTTTTTAAGGATTTTCAAACAAATTCACAATTAGATTCAGGATTTTTCCACTTGAAAAAATCTTTGCGTTTTAGTTTAACTGGAGACTTTTGACAAAATAAAAGTTGTAGTTAAACAAAGAACACCGCTTCTCCACTTTGTTTTATTTTTATTTAAAGTATTTTTTTTCGTTTACCGTGAAATCAAATTAATTTGCACTATTTTCTTACTAAATTCAAATAAAAAATAAAAATTATTATTTTGGTTTAAATTTTTATCAATAAAACTTGTATCATAATTTTTAAATTTACATATCTTATATTTATAGGACTACTATTAATTTTGTTTTTAAAAAATAAATCAAATACAAATTAGACTTTTAAAGCGTTTACTTATCGAGATTGTTATTTTTATTTGGTTATTACATGTTTTATAAATGTTTATACATAAAAATTGCAAAAGGAAAACCCGAACAACATTTATAACTCAAATCAAACTCTAACTTAGTTATTTGAAAGAGCTTTTTTGTTTAGCGTCATTTATTAACTACAAAAATGTTTATCAAAGATCCAGAACTTACCTTCCAGAAAAATAAAAAGGCGCTGAAAATTATTTATAAAATTTTTTTTTTGCTGTTACAATAAATATTTTGTTTTATGTTTATATAATATGAAACTTATTTTTTAAGGATTATTTAAGATAACACTCTGCACTATGAGGTCATTTGAATTATTTTGATTAAATTTTTGTATATTTTAATTTATAAACTTTAAGTAAGTATTAAAATACTTTTCTTTTATATAGTAAAATGCCTGCCAAAAAAATTATTTGTCAACCACATAAGATATTCTTAAATAGACAAAAAGCATTTTTATTCCCGAAATTTTTCAGAAATGTCTTCAAAATATTTTTCTGGATTTTTTCTGGATATTATAAGGAAAAAATTTTCCAGATATTTTGAATATGACTAGGATAATCTTTGCAAGTATTAAAATTTAAGGTATAAAAAAATTGCATTGAATAGCTAAATATCTCTAAATATTTTAAATAAATTATCACAAAATAATTATCATATTTGTATGAACATTTTTTAATATTTTTTAAATTTATTCTGTAATGTTTGAACATTATTTTATGTTTGATGAAAGTCTGAACTAATTAGAAACAATTTTTTTTTTTTTTTAAATAGTCTATTAGAATTTCATCCATAAAATTTTTATTATTTATGTAGTCCTCAAAGTATTTTTTTTTATTGTGTTGTTGTGTTAGCTAAATTATTTATAGTAGACACATTGTAAAATTGGTTAATGATTTTATTGGTTGTGAAGTTTTTTAATAAAAGTTTTATATTTCTTTTAGAGTTCATTCTATGACCATGATAAAGAGGTATAATTTTTTTAGTATTTTGAACATCAAAATTATATATATATATATATATATATATATATATATATATATATATATATATATATATATATATATATATATATATATATATATATATATATATAGATATAGATATAGATATAGATATAGATATAGATATAGATATAGATATGTATGTATGTATGTATATACATACACACACACTAAATCTTTTTTTATTCTGCACCTAGTTAGTATTTTGTGGGAATTTTAATTTTTTTTTCATACTGTTCTTGACTAACAGTTGATTGTTATAATCATGGTATAAGAGAGAAAAAAGTTTCTTTTTTCTTTTTTACAAATTAAAGTGCACATAAAATATAATTTTAGTATGCTCTGTATCTATTACATATTTTTTTGTGCATAAATGTTTTGTGTGTGTAATATTTTTATAATTGTTTACAGCTATTTATTTTGTATCATGTCAGAATTATTCAGTGTTAGATGTACAGTTCATGAGATTGACATGTTATGGCAATAATAATTGATATTTTGAAGTAAAAAATAAAACATAGATTTTAAATTGGTTTTGGTATGGAATAAAATATTGCAATGGTTTTGATATGGACAAATTGAAGCAAGTTGAGTCATAGAATATTGCAATAAACATTGTAGAAGTGTTTTCAGAGAAATGGTTTGGTTGTGCTTCACTAGTTACAATTGGTAAGCTATTTGAGCAATAAAGTAAATTTTAGCAATAAAGTAAATAATTTGAATAAATTTAGACACCTTATAAAAGTTAAGAAAAGTGCATACTTTATGCTTTGCTCATGGGGCACATTTTTTCTCTATTTGAAGTTACCATATATATCAGGTTTCATCTGGATGCAAATAAGTTAAAGTAGTTTTGATGCACCCTTAATGTTATTACTATTTGCAAAAAAGTAGTTGTATTAACTAATTATATTTGTTTTAAATAAACAATTTTTTTGGAGGCGTAGCCTATGATTAATGAAATTAATTTTAAAACTACAATAGTTATTTGAATTTATATTAGTTTGTTAGTGATTTCATTTTTAGAAAAAGAAATGGAAGGTAAATAATTTAAAAGTTAAAACTTTATAAAAACTTTTTTGCTTTTCAAAAGTCTAAAATAAGTTAGTTTCTATTTCACTATTTAAATGGTAACGGGTCCTTAAAGCAAAAAGATGTTGAGGCGAATTTTTTCTTTTCTTTTTTTTTTTTCAATAATACAACCTGGTTTTTATCTTTATTTTTAAAACAATGCATTTAAAAAACTTTTTTTTAATAGTTAAACAAAAATTTTATCAACAATTTTATATTATTGATTACTACTCTAAGTGCATTAAATATATACAAAAAAATTGTTTTTATTAAAACTTTTTCTAATAGTTAATGTTTGCTAATAGAAAAAAGTAACTTTTTCACTTTAATGACCCTGAACCATTTAATTTATATATATAATGTGTGTGTGTGCGTACACAAGCACACAAACGCATATAAAAAAGTATTTTTTTATATGTATATACATATACTTATTTTAAAAAAAAACAGGAAGTTGCTGGGGCTTCAGTACATACATCGAGTATCAAATAGCCTGACCTGCAAAGGAGTGCTGCTACATCGACTGAGGGTTAAGCATGTGGCAGCATCTTTTCTTTCATTATTCTTCGGGGTTTTTTTTTTTTTTTTCTTTTCTTTTCTCTTTCTGAAATATTAAAGCAGGGTCATTCCATGCCAAATGGACCATTATTTTAAGATTTCAACATGGACCACCTCAGATTTTGATAAAAATTAGTGGGTTTGTTAATATTAATTCGAAAAGCAATTCCTATAAATTTCAGCATAAAATCTTTAGTGGTTGATAAGATATGGTCATTTGAAATTTCTGATTTTCCCAAAAATAAAAACTTCAGTAGCCAAAACTTTGTTCATACTTTGAAACTTTATATTTTAAAATCAAAATTTCAGAAGACCTCCTAGTTTTATTATTGTATACAACTTTAGACTTACCTTAGTAAAACTTTGACATTAAATTCTTGAATGTCCATAATGACTACCTAAAAAACCTAAAAAATCGTTTACAAATATAAAAAGTTGATTTTTGATGAGTCTATATAAAAAATCTGCAGTTTTAGAAGTGAAAAGACAATTTTTTAGTTTCTATACAGGGGCGTGGTGGCCCCAGAGGCCATGCGGGATTCCGCATGGATTTTTAAAAACTTTTTTACTTAAATATGGGCCTTTTAGCACTTTAACCCAAGTACAGGCCTTTTAGCAATTTTTACTTTTTTTGACATTCTGAAAAAAATCTATTTATTTTTTAAATAATAAAAAAACACCTATATAGCATTTAAAAAAATATGATGTACTTTTCAATGAAGTAACAGGACCATTTTAAAGCGCTGAGGTGTGTTAATGCTTTGAAAAAATACTAGTTAAAATGCAAAATTAAATAAAAGCGTAAACTATCTAAAAAAAACAATTTTTTGAATAATTTTTTTCAAGAAAAAATATGTTTTCATTTTTTTTTTAATATATAATTTAATAAAATCATCTTATAATAAAATAAGCAACATTGCATAATAAATTAAAATATTTAATTTTTAATTTGATTGTTAATGGCTTTTCTTCAAACAATAAAATAACAATTGTACTTCTTTACAATAACTTGGCGGCAAAGTTGTATTTTAAGAAACAAAAACGTGGTGGCTGCAGCGTAGTGTTACCATTTTTAGTTTAGAAGTATTACAAACTTCAACTTATTGGTTTGTATTATAAACTTCAACTTAAAAAATATAAGCTTAAAAAACTTTTAATTAAAAACTTACGTTTTTTTAGAAAGTTCTATATTATGCCAAATGCATTGGAAATTATTATAAATATATTAAATACCTAAATAAATTTGTTTAATTATTAATTTATTAAATAAAGTACCGTAAACCGGGGTAACTTTGTACCAATTTTGATAAAGAAGATAACTTTTTAAAAAAAGAAACATTTTCCCAAAACTATTTTCATGCTCAAAGTTGTGCATTACTAATGTCATTTAATTAAAATGGTGTATTCATTTTATTCACCAAATCCAAGATTTTATGGAAATAATGAGGTGGTCAATGTTACCTGGCAATGGGGTAACTTTGTCATAGTAAATTGTTTTTTTAGCACCGGATGTAAATTAAGTACTATTAACCACATTTAATGTAATTTAAACTTACAGTTAGCAAAAAGGTTACTTAAAATATATCAAGAAATTAAAAAAGGGACAATAAAAATAAATATAAACAGTATTAAAGAAACATATTAGCTAAAATAATTTAAATTTTTTTAAAATATTTTTTAACCCAATGATTTAAAAAACTTACTAATTTTTTTTATTAAATGTCAGAAAAAGCAAAAAATAAGAGAGTACTAAAGAATAAACAAACAATTTGTAACCTAAACTTTCCTCATATATACTAGTAGTAAGCAACCCGTAATACGGGTTGTAAGTAAATAAAATTAAAAAAAAAAAACTGCCTTTAGAAAAGCCTAGAAACTACTTTAAAATAGAAAAGCCTAGAAAATGACGTAAGTTGACTATTAACTATCACTATTAAATTAGCGTATTAATATTATCAGATATAAATTGTTCTCATATATTCATAACATAAAACCGATCCTCAAAAGTAACTTCATCAAACCAGCCAGATTGGGTTCTATTAAGGCAAGAATTTGTTGGATTTATGGATTTTTTTATCCATAAATCGTATAAATGTGTGCTTTTAAAAACTGAGTATTGTGGAAGAATTTCTCCTACATCATTTACACAAAACATTACAGAGAAACAAGTCTTACTGGTATTCATTATCTTCTCAGGGTACTTGGTTCCACGTTTCATAACAACTTTTTTATTTTTAGAGTCATCACGAAAATTTGTTTCATTATAATTCCAAATGTTACAAGGTGGAATTTCTTCAAGCTCAAGTCTAATATTGTCAAAATAAATTTTCAATTGTTCTTTGTTTATATCTGCACGTTTTCTTTTAATGTTTGATGCAATTTTATGGGCTAACTGAACGTTTCATAAAACTTGAGACCCAATCATCACCAGGAACATTGTTTTTAAATATTTTTACAGTACAATTTTGCAATTTTAGATAACCAGCTACTAACATTTTAACATCAAGTTTATTTAATGGAAATCTGCCATCACAAATAACCTTGATTCTAGATGAAAATAACTGCTCCTCATTATAAGCAAATATGGTTGGTGCATTTTTTATGCTTTGACTTCATTTTATTATATATAGTGCTTCTTGGTATAATAAACCTTTTTGAGGCTTGACGAATAAACATACCTTCATTAATTGCACCCATATACTCTTTCAAAAGAATGGTATTATAACAAGTGTTGTATGCACGTTTTCCAACACTTTGCTTGTTTATACTATATTTATGAGGCATTATGCTTTAAATAAAAGTAAATATAAACAACCCAAGCAAACTGCAATGTAGTAATTTATTAAACTGTTATATAATTTTATTAAATTGCTATTAAACTTAAAACTAAGAGTCTATAAATTTTAATATTGTTATAAAGTTAATAAAATTATGATTTAGCAACAACAACAACAAATAGTTTTTTTTTTAATTCACCTCCTCAAGGCCGAGAAGGCCACTACAGACGAGGAGGCTACTTATTTGTGGTGACAACCCTCTCTCAACTCTATAATTCCGAAACACGAACCTTTACGAACAAGGACGCTGCGTGGAGAAACAAGTTGAGTGCCGTACTTCCAGGGACGTGGTAGAAATGGAACTCGGAACCACTCGTTTATGAAGCGAGCGCTCTACCACTACACCACTACCACATTGTTTAACAAGAAAATATACTTTTTTAAAAATCCTTAAATACATTCGTGCTAAAAACTGTTTATCAAAATAAATTATTTGGGTAACATAAGCATGATTAAAAATATTATAGTTATTATAAATAACAATTAGACTACTTTAAAATG